GGGGGGGCAGACAGACAGAAGAAACAGCAGAATGTGTGTTCAGTAAAAAGTAGTAGGGCAAACCAGAGGTGCTTTCCAACCACCCTAAACCATCTTGGAGGATGGCCTGAAAGAAGCAAACCACAACAGAGCATCCGCCAACCACCCAGACTCATTTTCAGTAAAGGCGAATGCCATTATTAGGTTTACGGCAACAAGACTACGTTTTTCCAGTAAACAGAATTGTTTGAGTACATTGAAGTACATCGACACAATTCTGGTCATTAAGGGTTGGAAGAAAGTTAGCCAGACAGATAAAAAAACAACAGGGAAAGTAAATAGGTAGGACCTACGGGTGGCACCCTCAACCACACACGAGTAAAGAGAGGAGAATATCACACGACAAAAGTCATTAGGTGTTGGAAAGGAGCAAGATAATGCAGAGAGATATAACAGAGCTAGGGAAGATTGAAGAATACCGGACCACCCGTATACATTATTGAGCGAGAAAGTGCGGAGGGTGGGGCGGGTGGTTGGGGTGGAAGAGGGGTGGGGGGTTCAAGGGGGTCTCCCCCTGACAAATTTTTAATGAGTAGATCTACCGGTCCGAGATTCTCCATTGAGAGATATTAAAAACTGGGGAAAATCATGAATTCCTTAGGATGAGACATAGGCAGAGTCAGTCCGCTGGTCCGGTATTCTTCAATCTTACCCAGAGCTAGCCTGACAAGCAGTGTGGAAGCCCGCCTCCTAATGACCTGAACTAAATTTTGTCAACAGAGCATAAAAAACTTTAAGAAAAATAACAACAACAACAACAAAACCGACAACAATAACGACAATAACAAAAACAACACAAGCAACCCCCCGCACAAAGCGGTTAAACGAAATCGCAGACAAGCTTCTTGTGTTGAAGGTTAACCCCACTACTATAAACACCACCTAGATCTGCGTCATTTGGAAGGCATTGCAAAGCAGACACAATCATTGGGGCAGAGCACGTGGCCCCTCCCTAAGGTGGGCGAAGAGGAATTAATATTCCAGGTTAAGTTTGGAGATTCCCCCACCCCTCCCTTCCCTCCCCACAGGATTCGACGGTCTATTTCCGTGTAACAAATAAAGTCCATAATATGAGACGTGCCCGCAACCACCAGACAATACACAACAACAACAACAACAACAACAACAACAAAAAGAACAACAACAACAACAACGGTGAAACAAGGATAAAAATAACAACAACAAAAACTGAAAACAATGATAAAATAATAATAATAACAACAGCAGCAACATCAACAACTACTTCAGTAA